AAACACATTGTAGACGTTTCACCTATATGAACTTAGAAGTGGTGCCGCTTCTTAAAAGAACTAAAGGTTTGTTCTTTAAAGAGTTCATGAACCAGGAATAAGCACAAGGCCATAACAGTGCTAAAATATTAATTCTCATTGAAACAAGAGATTAGTGTATGTACAATATTTCCGGTTCTATCACAAAGAGTAATTAGTTTAATGTTAAGGCAACTAACGACTTTGATAGAACTTTGAGGTATTTGTACTAAGTAAAGGTTTAAATCGAAAGATACCTCTACATATGTATACTTATCTCATTTTGTACATATTGCAGATTATTTTTTAAATATAACACTATTAAAATGTTTTTTCAAACAAAGTGGGGGATTGTTAGTATTTGTTTGTAAAAAATAAGATAGTCCCACATTAGAATTTTGAACATTCTTTTAGAGGTTTAAAAGCATTGAATGCTTAGTGGGCTTTGAATAATGGATCAAAGTGTAGGCTTCTAAACCCGCGTGCGGGTAGCGCGAATAATGCGTGATTTTGACGCGATTATTAGACGCATTTAGCACTTTGCACGCTTGCCGTTGCCGCTTAAATGTTCTAATTTTTATATATATTGAATATATTTTTTTAAAATGTTATTTTGAATTTTAAAAAATTATGAAAAGACAAGTGACTGTTGAAAAGTGGCTGTTTGCTCTAAGGGGTGTTTTGAAAAGTTGAGACTGTTGGAAGCACCTTTTCAAAACCTATAAATAGTTTATGTTTTCAGATATCTAATAACAATTCTTTTCTGAATCTTTTCTATCAAAAACTTCTGCAATATTACAAACTTGTTTCACAACGAATTAAGGAAAATTCCAGATTTGCTTAATGGAATTTTTATTTTCTGTTGTATCCTGGGAAGAAAATTTGCATTAACCCGAAGCAACTTTGAATATCAAGTGGGGGCAAATATTTCTTTAAGGAAAGTGTTTCACGCCTCAAAATTTCTGTCTCCTTCAATTTTAGATAACAGCCAGATGTGGGTCCCACCATCCTACTTGTGGCGCGCCAGATGGGCTGCACGCCCATCTTGCGTTGCTATTTGGCAAGGTTGCAACCTCAAACCCCTCTGTTCCAAATTACCCAAAAACTTCAAAATCTAACCGTTGACCCATTCAACCAAAGAGGCCCTTTCCTTCTATGAGGTACTGGGCTGAATCTTATGTAGCCCACACGCGTTAGAAGGGTGAATCTTGGGAAAGTCCACCCGTTTAGGCCCAGCCCACAAAATCTCCCCATCTGTTTTCCTATAAAACCAAACCCTAAACCCTACGATGAAACCCTAACTACTTGATCTTATCTGAGCAATGGAAAATGGCGGCCGTCCTGTAAACAGGCAGCTGGCGGCGATTCGTTCGGTTAGGGTTTGAGAACAAGGAGAGGACGGCGGTCTCTCTTCCGTCTGCGATGAAGACTGCCCGCCATCGGAGCGCACTTTGAAAATCGTGCGATGATGTTAACGGCGGGCTCCCCCCCACCCCCAAACCCCCCCAAAATTTTCTTTTTTGATTAGGGTTTTTAAAAAAAAGAAATTTATTTTAAAGTGCAGGATTGTGTGTATCGGTGTTTTGCTTGCTTACAGCGTGCATTGCTCGCCGAAAGTGTTTCCTGCTACAGTAATTAATTTGGGGAAGATGGGCAGTTGGGTTCTATATCATTTGTTGGAAATCCCAACAATCATTTTCCCTAAATTTAAACTTATACTAGGGTTGGGCTAAAGTTTGATTCTTGTATCCAAATTATGTCTGATTCCTTCGGATTAAATGGTTTTGTTGGTAGAAGTCCATTTTTTGCAGGATTGTGTGTATCGGCGATCTTGCTGTTTGAAGTGCATCTCTGCCGAAAGTGTTTCCTGCTATAGAAAACAATGAAGATGGGCAGTTGGGTTCCTAAGTTTTCCGTGGGAATCCCAACAATCATTTTCTGCACATTTTCATTCCATACTGTTGAAAATGTTTGTTATATCAACATAAATAGTATGGTTAGGAATCTTGGTATGTTATTTGAGCATTCTTTACTTAGTTTGCGGTGTTCTCATTACACCAGTAACAAATACCTTGAGCATGGCCTCTTTATGAATGAATTATTGCCTAATAATCTTCTTTGAATGGTAGAATTCGGTACGATCTTTAGCTGCTTCGAACTCGGTTATGGATTCTTGAACGAAGCACAAGAAGCTCAGTGCTATTGTCGGAATCGAGTTGTGTGGTGAGTAATGGCATTTGTGAGAGTGAATTTGCGCCCCCCCCCCATGTTTGAGCTGCAATGGACAATTGAAGGATGTGACCTTGAAGAGTATCAAAGGGATCAAGGTGAACTGTTGTCGTCATTGTTATGCCTTTGCATAATTTGTAGGTAGTGTAGAGAAAGATGTTGTTGCTACTTACTAAGCACTTGGCGGAACTTATATTGATGTCTAGGAGGATGTTGTTGCTTCTTCCATCTATTCTTGCGATTTCATTCTGAATCAACTGTTTGTTTAGCATGACTCGATTAAATGAAAGTTGAAAATGAAAAAAAATCAGTTTTCTTGTACCAGTTCCAATTGGCCCTGTCCAAATAAAATGAATAAATGTATTTTCTTCGAACTCCTCTTCGTTTGATAATGCACACCTTAAATGCATATTTTTGTGTTGTGCAAATTTGCTATTACGTTCTCTTTCTAACGCAAGTCTTGTTCTCAAGATTTGTCTATGTTGGTGTAAGCCATCTTCTAGATGATCGGCTAGACAGTTAAGCAGATAACTTCTATAGAAGTGATCATTTCTAACCCAAGAGGTTTCAAACTCAGAATCTTCTTCAGAGTTGAGTTTCTCCTCAGAGACCACATAGTAGATTTTCAAGAGTTGCATTCTGAAGATCACTTTTCAACGTCATGCGTTGAAGTTGGAACCGTCAAAGTTTTCTTACTTAAGATAGTCCATTCCAAGAGTCCTTGCAAGATCCATGATATATCAGAATATTGTTTCAAGATTATTGGCGCCTGTGGTTAAATCTTTAAGATTGTTGGCGCATATGGTTAAATCTGGAATAATACAGATATAAAACAATAAAAACGAAAGAAAGCTAAAGTGTAGTAATTTAAAATTTTTAATTTAGCTGCTGTGTGTTTGTAAAACGTCGTGTTTAAAACAATAAACTTTAATGAGTTCAAAGTATTTCGAATGCGGGATGTTTGATAGGAAACATGCCTAAAGAGCTCACCTATGCATAAGTGGAGATTTGGCCTTCTTCTATGATGTCTTGTGGAAAGATATCTAGAGCCCTAGCAGAAATCAGGACATGCACATGGTCATAAATGTGCAAATGCAAGACAAAGACAAAGGCAAGTGGTTCAAAGTGAACACTACCATAAATGAGTTTGATCGTGTGATCGTTGGATTTTTAAAAATGTGCTGGTTCAAGTCTCTGTGACATCATGCATCTATCTTTTAATCAGTTGGTCTAAGGAGGATTTAAGTCCTTGCGATATCTACCTTATGCACAATGATTGAAACAACGACACCGTTGCATGATTTTAGTTTAAAAAACTTGTGGGGGATTGTTAGATATCTTATTAAACTAGTGGACCCCTAACTAATTGTTTCAAAGGAAAACGTGATTAGCCCAACTTTTACGGAAAGTAAAAAACAAGTGGACCCTCTTTTTGAAAATAGAAAAACACGTGCTTAATTTTTTGTGGGATTTTCAAAGGCTGGTGCCAAATTTCGTTGAAAGAGAAAAAGGTGGGCGGGCTCCACCACGGATCCCATCACTAGTAATATATTATTAGTGCATAGTATTTTTCCAAACGTTATAAATAGACCTTAAATTCTTAAGGAAAATTCATTCCAAAAATAATAATCAATATATATATATATATATGTCTTATAGATCAAGGAGATCGTTGTCTTGACCGAGAGGTCCTATATATCGATGAGATCTTGATAGTATTGGGTCAGTGCACACCAGAGTACTGTACTGTTGTTCTGGAAGCAATTTGGTCTTAGGATCCTTACACCGGAGTAGACTAAATATTGCTTTAAGCACAACGTTTTACAAACGCACAACAGCTGAGTTGGAAATTTTAAATTAATGCACTTCAGCTTTCTTTCAGTTTTTGTTGCTTTATATCTGTATTATTTCAGATTTAACTACATGCGCTAACAATCTTAAAACAATATTCTGATCTACCATGGATCCTGCAAGGACTCTTGGAGTGGACTATCTTAAGTTAGAGAACTTTGACGGTTCCAACTTCAACGCATGACGTCGGAAAGTGATCTTCGGGATGCAACTCTTGAAAATCTACTATGTGGTATCTGAGGAGAAACTCGACTCTGAAGAAGATTCTGAGTCTGAAGCCTGTTGGACTAGAGATGATCACTTCTGCAAGAGTTATCTTCTTAACTGCCTGACCGATCATCTAGCAGATGTTTACACTAACAGTTCATATACATGAGTGTCATCTTTTGATATAGACTGATGGACATTTGGTTATCAACTTTCAATTTGAGCACAGTTATATTTTTATATTTCTTTTGAATTTTTTGTACTTGCAACTCATTGAATATATGATAACATTTCATTTTTGTGAACGATCTATGAAAAGTTAATTTTTCTTAGAGAAGTTCATGATATATTTCATCTTCTACATTTTGGGTATGAGACAATTGTTTACATTTGAAGTATCACATATTTCTAGAGCATGAGATAATTGTTAACATTTGAAATATCACATGTTAAAAGTATCATATGATAAGAGTGTCTTTGCACATTTCTATTTTTGATTATTTGAAAGGGGTGGTGTTGATTTTTTTTTGAGAAGGCAGGTAAAGTAACCTAACCAGCCAGATCCTCAACAACACTTTGTGTCAAAAACAAAGGGACAGAAACAGACAAAAAATAAGAGGACCAAAAAGGGTGGTATTGATTTGAGTCATCTGGCTACTGTCTTGAGCTTTATCTTTTTCTCTTTGGTCTTACTATTTCAGTGATTTGGATAACTCAACTTTTAGTTCATGTTTGGAAAAAATAAAAGAACCTCACCATAATTGTGTTTGCATACAGATAAAGCCCTCAACAGAACAGGCTATAACAGAAGATGGCAATGGTATGTTAATAGAAAAGAATATAGTGTCTTTACCATCTTATTACATGGATATCAAATATTAATTTCTTTTATCTTTTGGTTAATATAAGTTGATATGATAAATTATTACTATTTACTATAACTTGAATGTCTTTGTTTAGGCAATGACTCTTGCCTTTAATCTTCATCTTATATTGAGCAACTGAAAGTTTATTAAGGTAAACTGTTATTCTGGTATCCCCTTGATTTCCCAACAATAGGAAAAATTATTTGCCGTCTACATCCAGTTTATAAAAAATTACAAGAAGATATCACAAAAGAAGGGGAGACAAAGAGAGGCAATAAAAATGTAGAGGAATTGCATTAGAAGGGTGAGGTAGCATGCTGGTAATGAAGACGCTGAGGATGTTCTTTATACTGGAGCTCACTGTCAAGCCACCATAGCCTATGTGTTTTACGAACGGGCAACAAATTCATCCATGTCTCAGCAATAAGAGTTGGTTCTGATCAACAATATCTCGAGGAGGCTATCGTCTGGAGCAGAAGGTGAGCCTGCATGATTTCATACACTTAACGGTTAGTATAAAGTTAAAAAAAGTCAATACGTATCAAATGATGTCAAGCAAGTGTGAGAAACATCAAAGAAGCGTTCAAAACTAAGAATATTGAAGAAAATCGAACATACATTTGGAAATGCAGCAACGTTCTATCACAAACCTTTATGGTACACTTCTGAATAGTCAAGGTGATGTAAGTCTTCTCAAACCTTCTGGCAAAGACATCAGCCGATCACAACGTTCTATCTTCAGCGACGTTATAAAATGGAGGTTTTTGAGGGCCTTAGTTGCCTTAGTCGAATCAAGATTAGGACAATCTACTATTTCCAAGTGCCTGAGTGACCTCGAGGATATCCGTGGAAGGTTTGACAGTTTCGAGCATCTTTTAATAATGAGCACTGAGAGACGGGGAAACGAGTCTTCTTTCTCTGATTCCCATGACTCCAGGCAAATCATGTCTAAGCAGTTGAGTTCTTCCAACGATGGAAATGCAGCTAGTTGAGTATTGAATCCATAGAAAGCTTTACCAAAGCACCTGGCGGCATCAAGTCCCCCAATCGTTAGACTCTTAAGTGATGGTAGCTCCCCAAGGGGTGGAAGACTCTCGCATCCTCTGCAGTTAATCAGAGTGAGTTCCACCAGATTTGGAAGACAGTAACTGTTAAGCCAACTGGCGAAGCTTTTTCCCTTGTACTCTTGTACTGATAATCTTTTCAGATACTTATGTGGCTGGAGTGCATCAAACACCTTATCAGAGCCTGGCAAATTTCTACAATTGCCTGCTTTCCATGATAAGGACAAAGTGTTGAGGTGTTCCTTCTCCTTCAAGTTTGCATCCCCCGCTTCTGATCCATTTTCAACATTCCCAAGGTATCTAATATCTAGTTTGCCTCGAAGATTGAGCGCCCCCAACTGTCGCATGTTGTACCCTTTCTCCTTACCCACAATGAATATCGGCAGTGTTTGCAGGAATTGCAGTTGACCGATTCGGTTCGGCATGTGGTCAAGGGATTCACATTCATCAACATCTAGATGCCTGAGGCTTTTCATCTTCCTCATCTTTGGAGGTAATTTACGAAGCTTTAAACACCTTTTCAATATCAGTGACTGTAAATTCTCGAGACCAGAGAGAGCTGCGGGTAAGCTTTCTATGTCAGTGCCAGAAAGGTTAATGTATCTAAGATGCATTATACCGCCCACCGAGTCTGGAAGAAATGTGACAGCACTGTTACTCAGATCTAATGCCCGCAAAAGTCGAAATTTATTGTAGATAGGACCTTGAACCTCAGGAGCAGACCTGATACAATACAAGCATAGCTTAGATTAACTTACACTAGCAAATTATTTGGAGCAACTTGCATTTATCTCACGGCCCCAATCACAAACTATAGTTTCAAACTGTAGGAACTAGGTATGATTATATTATTATTATTAATTACTAATGTTACTATTAGTATTATCAAATACTACTGAAATGCTAATGATCTAGATTCTTTAAATGATAATTTGTCAATCTATCTACATTAATAGAATCTAAACATCTTGCACCTTCCTAATCCCTAAGACCTCATCATGGGTGTAAATGGTTAGCGGCTATTTCAATTAGGAGCTAAGGTTTTTTTTCTTTTCTTTTTTCCCCAACACTGTTATGTTTATGGCTAATCATAACTGGCAAGCCTCCATGTCAGTTTCAACGAATTATGGTAGTATGATTTCAAGCAGAGCACATGTTAATATTTGATTCATGGATTTCCTGAGGTTAGCTATATTGTACGACTCAGGACACACATATTAGTAATCGTGTAGGATATCTTACATGAATGACTCATGATTCATGAAGTAAATGTTCTCTGTTTATAATCGTAAAATCAAATTCATTAACACTGGGGAAGTTATGATTGGCCATGTTATTGCACAGATCTGGGGACAAATGCGAGCCTTGCAGTGTGACAACTGGGACCAAGAAAATCCATTAGTACCACTAACCATTTTGGTTATAAGATCCTATCACTGCTTAATTTCAATAGCCAATCAAACTCGTTAATTTTCCTTTTGCCAACTTCTCCGTGTTGATTCCAATTCTAATAAGATTGCAATCAAAACTAGTTACTTTTCCTTGCCAAATTCTACTCTAATTGCTCCCATATTATGCAAAAGACAAACCAAGGACCAGAACCTATCCTTCATCAAAATCCTGTTCCTCTCCAAACCCAATTTACATCCAAGGTTTCGGGTCCCAGTCAGCAGATGGTTACACACAGAAAGTCACAGTTATAATATCCTTCCTAGGTAACTAATAGTAATTAATAAAAAAATGGTCAAGATCTTTGGTGTTGAGATTTATATTATACTTCTCAATTTGAGACCATTGCCTAAGTTATATACTTTTCTCAAAAAATGGTGGGAATATTTTTAAAGGGGCAACTTCACCATAAAAAAGTTGTTTTCCTGATGGTAATGTTTGATGGAATCATGGTAGTGTTATAGCATTAACAATTACAAAGCATCCACTGTTATTTTATTTTCTTTTGGGAGAGGATATTTGATCTTATGTAAATTTGCATGGATAAAAGTACTTTGCCCAAAATTTTTCAAAATTGTTGGAACTAGAACAGTGACCTTAGCGACATACCTTTGTGGACAATTTAATAGGCAGAGCGTGCGCAAATACACATTTTTAGGAACATCTGATACGGACCCGTAGCTAAAAAAGTGGCGGTTGATGCTGATTTCCATCTCACATCTTGCAAGATCATAGATGAGCGCATGTAATTTGAATGTCGTTGTTCTGCCTTCTTCGTCTTTCCGAAGGGGTTGGAAGAAGAACCTATCGAGAAGGTGCTGAAAGGTATCATGACCTATGTCTTCCACCTCCTTACTTCCTTTTGGTTGAATGAAATCATGGGCTATCCAGAGTTTGATTATAATGTCTCTGTCAATTTCGTAATCTCTGGGAAATACGGAACAATACGCCAAGCACCTGTATGCATGCTTGGGTAGGTGCTTATAACTCATCCTGAGTGTGTTTAAAATTTCATTCTCTTCGGCTAAGTTCCATATTTCAGAGTTTTTGACGGATAACCACTCAGCCTCATCTTTCTGGTGCATCAACCTCCCAAGAGCTTCTGCGGCCAGAGGCACTCCTTTGGATTTTCCTGCAATCTTCCATCCGATTTCTTCCAAGAACTGGTTTATATTCTGTCTTCCCTTAAATGCTGTTTGCGCAAATATTGACCAGCAAGAAGACTCTTTTAAACCTTCTAGGTGATAGGGGTTGGTTGTTTTCATTATATTTGCTACTTTATTGTTTCGGGTGGTTACTATGACTTTACTTCCATGTTCGCCTTCCTCTAAGATATGCTTAAGCTCATCCCAGTTCTTTCCGCTGTCATTCCAGACGTTGTCGAGAACCAGTAGGAATTTTTTTCCTTGTAATATTTGTTGAAGGCGCGTCTTCGTCTGATCCCAGTTTGGATTGTCAACATGATTCTGTGAGGCCGTAGGCTCTAAGGATTTTCTCCCAGGCAATATTTGTTGAAGGTGCGTCCTTAACCAATTCCAATATGACTTAACAACACGATTCTGCGAGGCTGCAGACTGTAGAATATCTTGTGCTATTTTCTTGACATCAATACCGTCAGACACCCAAACCCATATCATCAACCCATTTCTGAACTCCTCTGTCACCCGATTATCATTGAATGCCATCTTTGCGAGAGTTGTTTTCCCAATTCCTGGGATGCCGACGATCGGAATGACAGAGATCTTTTCCTGACAACTAGTGTCTCTTAGAAGTTCTACAATGACTTCTTTCTCTGCCACTCTCTCGTGGACTTCTGAATGAGGAAGAGAAGGGTCAGTTGCTTCTTGAACTGCAACTGTGACGTTATTTCCTCTGGCATCCGAAAGGAAGCCTTTCTCTTTGCCAAGTGCCTCTATTATCTCCTTAATATCCTTAATATCATGAGCAGGCCCATTGATATATGGAAATTTACTGGAGAGTGGGAAGAGTTGACCTTTCTTCAGGAAGAAACTGTCGAGCAGGATCGTGGCCTCGTCAACCGCATCCTGAAGCTTTCGCAGCCATTGCTGCATTTCTCGGTTGTGGCTCGGCATCTCTTCGGAGGCCTGAAGCATGGTTTCGATCGTTGACAGCGTGCTGACGAGTTTCCTTAGCTCCAACTTTGCATCCCATGCTAATCCCAGCTCCCGGTTGAGCAGCGTGCCTGCATTTGCGGTGAGCGTGCTCACAAGGGCAGAGACCATGAGCGCTTCAACGACCACCATTGTGGAGGAAAAGAAACGGAGGGATGTGGATGTGGGTTTCGTTTGAGGATTGTTCAGGGATTTGCAGGTTTTTGCTGCAGCTATAAGATGCCCCAGCAAATGGTTGGTTGACCTGAAGAATGCTAACAGTCAATTTTTTTTAATATATTACAACTACTTGTGTATTGTATACAATAAATTTACGTAATAGGATCCCACATAAATTCAAGTTGACTTGTCATGCTCCCATCTGCTTTGGTCCTTGTGCCGTGCCTTAAATTAGGGGTAGTAATTAATGGGATCCGATAACCTAACCTGATCCGTATTCAATCAGGATTTTAGATTTAGATCTTTGAATCATATAGCATGCGAGGTCTAGATATGAATCCTAAAATGTATGTAGTTTCCTAGTTGGCTTAGATATAAACCTTCAAATTCGACATCTTACTAAGTACTTGTATAGATTGATTTATTTAAATTTTTAAAGGAAAACCACTTCTTTTTCTGTAACATGATTTGAGTATTGCCCATTAATTTGGTCTGGCTTTACTATGAATGAGTTTTCGTCGAAAACAGAAGGAAAAAAAAAAAAGAGCGAAAGAGAGGCTCACAAATTTTTGTTTAATTTCAGTACGTTGAACATCGGACAACGGATTCTGAATCTGATGAGTTATTGGGTTTGGATCATCAAGTGGACCATATAAGTTTCTTATAGTCGGGGTTAGTTTCTCACGTTGGTTTCAAAATGGAAAATGCAGTAGGATCCGACCCGAACCGAGCATTTTATCTTCAGTATATGCAATCATTATTTGTTTATGCCCTGCAGTTCTAGCTCCTTCGTCCAATTTTAAACTGATGCGTCATAGCTACGGTGGTTCACGTATCATAATCAATGACTTTTTCCTCACCTTACCTCAGTATTGCGCGAGGCAATTTTAAATGAAACGTTTAGGCTCTTAATTTGTTTCTTAATCTTGCATAAATTGGTCTTGTTAGTTTTCATTTGAAAGAAAATGCAGCGAGTACATTACTAATTTTTTTTTATGGGCAAGTTGCATTTATTTAACCCCCACCACCAACTTCCTAGAAGCGGCATAACCAGTATCTGTTTGGGGGAACTTGGTCTCCCAAATGTTTTTGGAACATTCACCCACAGTATATATCATCATATGAATGAAACACACAAAAGTCCTACTGCTTGATAGAAATTTTCATAACATTATTAATGACAGACTTTTGCAGTCAATTTGGTGTTTACATTGAATATAACCAACACCCAGCGGACAAATTTTCAAAACCAACCTTTTTCGGTTTTTATTTGCAAAAACCGACCGCTTTTGAAGATAATTACAAAAACCGACATGTTTTCAGCCCAGCGCTGAAAACAGGTCGGTTTTTGTAAAAAGTTTTCCGAAACATCACGGGAGTTCAATTCCCGTGATGTTTATTGAGAAATTAAACTTCACGGGAGTTGAACTCCTGTGAAGTTTAATTTCTTCTTAAAACTCCACGGGAGTTGAACTCCCGTGGAGTTACATTCAATATCGCCAGACAACCGATCTCTGGGAAGTTGGGACTGCAACTTCACGGGAGTTGAACTCCCGTGAAGTTGCAGCTCCTCCAAAACATGCACAGCCTGCTGTGCATGTTTTGTATACGTACCTGTTAACTCATATATATGCCAATTTATTTGCAAACAACAATATATACATGATTCAACCATGAATTAAACACACACGATTATGTATATGAACAATAATTTATCTTCAAAAGTTTAGTATTTGAAAATTCAGGAAAGTTACAAATTTTAACAAAATAAGTTCAAATACAACCCAATATAGCTCCCCTCCTTCCTCTCCCTCTCTTCCTCCCCCTCGCTCTTCCCCGCCCCTTGGGTTCCTACTGATGAGCCTCAACTATCTGAGTATCCGTTGTGTATGAACTGCGAAGTGCCGCTCCATCGGATGTGAATGCCGGTTCGGCTCCATCGGCATCGAAGTGCCGAACTCATCGGCATGCGAAGTGCCGGCGTCATCATCACGTGGCCGTCGACGTCGAGCGTACGCCTGTCCAAATGAGCGAGACCTGTCCTCACGGCCTGCGAACTCGTCGACGTGAGTCTTATGAAACACCTGCGCTATGGTCTTTTTAATCCTGCTGAGGAGTCCTAACGTCGCCGAATCCTGAATCTCAGGCACGGTGACATCAATATCAGCCTCAATGCTATCTAAAACACGAACCTGCGTGGTAAACAATTTATTAAGTATCAACTCAATAAAAAATGTTATAATTTAGCTTAGAAACTTACGTAATCTCTCTCGTTCATCCCACTAGGAATGTAACTATCTGTCGGTGGGCGTGACATGTGTCCAGCTAAGGGCTGTGGGTCACGCGTGATCCATCTACGTGTGATACCCCAATACCAATGCATATACACGGTATAGTCAATAGCTATGGGCCTCGTATCCTGTATGCAATCCCACCTGTGAACCCACCTGTCTATGTAGGCCGCACGGACTACGGCCCAGTCAGTCCGGTGCGATGTAGGCCGCCGCCGATGATTGATCTGCTCGACAGGATCTGGAATATGCTGAGAGAGCGTAAACTGCAGTATCACACGGTCCGGGACATGCATCTCTACGATCTCCCAACAGATCAATGGAACTCTGGCTCTCCACAAGTCGGGACTATCTCGGCAGATAGGTGCAAGAGAATGCATATCGAGCTCCGGCGGTGTATAGGGTCTCCACTTGAACTGAAATAAAATAAAAAATTTATCAGTATCATACAGAAAAACTATAATATTCATACTATTCATACTTCTTGAGTTTTATATTTACCTGTTCGTGTTGGAGGCCATCAAGCTCATTTCGGTAAAACTAACGGTGACGCGTCGCTGATCTGTACTGAGCGTATCGCACGTTATACCTATATGCAGAATAGCAAATATATAAGTACAAATATTCAGGTTACGAATGAAATATGTGTGTGTACAATTATACCTGTATGCCAACGGATACTGCCCCTCCAAGTCACGGTGCATAAGTAAAGTGGGTCGTCCAATATGAATGCGCTCCCATGACCAAATCTGTATCAATGTACAGCATCCCTTGAATTCTTTATTCTGCATCAGAGATACTCTACTCAATTCTCGATACAAATATGCCAACACCGCACTGCCCCACGATAGTGCCCCGCATACACCAAAATCCTCCAGCAGTGGCAGCCATCGTGCATGTACGAGAGTCTTGCTCGCATCAGGAAATAATACGCACCCTATCATGTGCAATATGTATGCACGAGCATGAAACTGGAGCGTCTCAATAGAGGCATCCTCTGGTATATCGCTCTGAAATGTCTGACGAAGCCACGATAGCTTCATCGCACCACTCCTCAAGTCGGGAACCTGACCAAGAAGCCTAGCACATACATCCGGCCAACTATGATCATCGGTGCTCGTAACTGCCGGTCCATCGATCCGGAGTCCAAGTATGACGGCCACGTCATGTAAGGTGATGGTGCACTCCCCTATATGCATGTGAAAGGTGTTGGTCTCTGGTCTCCACCTCTCAATAAGTGCAGTGATGAGCGGCCAATCAAGCCTAATATAACGAATCGTCGAACACGGTCAAAAACCGACCTGAGCGATCAGTAGTAGTACCCTCTCATCCTCAATGACCCAAGCCGAATGACTCTGGGAATGCTTGATCATCGTGATGTCTGGTACGGGCTGCACATAAAACCAGAATCAGTTTTAAGTATATTCATAAAAAAATTACATTAATCGAAGAAATATATATCTAATTTATTCGTATTACCTCTCCCGAACCAATATGGTCTGAACAATGACTCGCCTGAAGGTACAAAACGTCGGGACGAAAACACTCTTTGTACGTTTGTTGATAGTTGTATGCAGAATACCAAGCCGCGACAAATTCATAATGTTAAATGCGAGCACCACCCTGTAGGTCGGAGCAAGCTGCTACAACATGTGAACAAGGAATCCATTGTAGTTGCGGTACATTGTAAGTGCACGTACAAGTGTGATCCACCAACATATTGACTTTGTAAGAGCGACTTTCTCTATAGGTTATTCCCTCGAGCACCTCCCATTCATTAAAACTATATCGTACGACCTGAAAGGACCGAGCTTGTACAATCCGAGCCGCTAGCATTTCATCAACCTTCGGTGTTAGCTGGGAGCGCATATTTTCACCAAGTTCTCGACGTCGAACAAAGAATTTATTAAGCCTGTAAAAAGTTTTAGCAACTAGTGCCTGTATTGGCATGCCGCGTGCTCCCCTGAGCACGCCATTGAAGCTCTCAGACGCGTTCGTAGTCATCATACAGAACCGTCGACCGCCATCCTCACATAAAGCCCACTTATCAACATTGTTTGGACCCAAACTAGTTTCGATCCAATCATGTGCAGCTCGTGAAATGAACTTAATCCTCTCTCGTATTTGTTCATAAACATATTTTTCTGTTGCACAACCGGCTTGCCAAAGTAAGTCTTGAACCTGAGCGTTTCCATACTTCTTCTTGAAGTTGTCTCTAATATGTCGCAAGCAATAGCGATGTGCATGTGGTGGCGGGAAATGTCGTTAGAGTGCTCTTGGAATTCCTTTCATCCTATCGGATATGAATGTAATCGGCCGCGTCCCCACACTAAGGATATGATATCTAATGCATGTAAAAAACCAAGCCCAATTCTCTGTGTTTTCAACATCAACCACTGCGACGAAACCCCTCAATACATGGCCCAAATGCCCAAAATACACCGGTGAACCGCCGTTCTCCGCCATCAACGGGGTCCGAAGATACTTCGTAGACAGTCCCCGGATTTTCTCTTTTGAGTGCTTCAAGATAATGAGGTAAGATCTCATACGAATTATCCCAATCCCCGAATATTTTTATCATCGCCTTCCTCCTAGCATTCCAACACTTGTGATATGATACATCCAAGTTGGTGGCTTTATGCACTAAAAGACGGATATCTTTCGGTCTTAGATCAAGATCCTCCCTCAGATGTGGTAAAATCAATCGATATATAAAAGAAGATGACTCATTCTTGTTATTCATCTCTAATCGAGGATTGCTACAAGTGTGGAGTCCATTGTATGCCGTGATTTTGAATTGCCCACCTACTCTTGAACCCGAGCGTGAATTAAGCTTCCACGGACACCTCGCATTGCCGTCGTGGTGTCCACTATTATTTTCGACATCGTCATCTTTGCGATAGAAACAAACCACATTATAGCTTGTAGTATTATTTTTGGTTGGCCTGAACTTCACATTTTTTGCAATGGAATACGTGCGAATAGCATAGATTAATTTCTCCTTACTATCGTAAAGATCTCCCTTCATGAATGAGAAGTCCTCGGCCTGTGTATCAACACCGCTATTAGTGCCAATAGGAACACTTTCCATCGCGGAGTTATCAATCCATTCATCTCCTTGAAGTTCATCGGGTGGCGGATCCTCTAAAACGACATACTCATTATTAACATAACATCCGTCGATGTGTTGGTTTTCCCCGTCATCACGATCTATCAAGGTCATGCTATTAATTTGTAATCCCTACTCTTCATCATCATTCTCGGATTCGACACTTGCATTATCTTCTTGAATTCCCGTGTTTGTATCGAAAGCATTCGAAGTGCCCACGAACGAAGGACCGCTCATGTATTGTGATTGTGTCCAACATTCATCTTGTTGAGGAGATAAAAAGCCTACAGAATCAACTTCAGGATCCTCCAACATGCGGGAATACATTCCTTGGGAGTTCAACGATTTGCCCAAATCCCTCTGCTGTTTTTCAATGAACAATTCGATCGAACGCTTCTCGTCGTGTAAGACATGAATGAGACCCATATCGTAGTAACTTGATATTTGAATGCCACTTGTTCTGTTCCCCAGTACAGGATAATTACAAACCACACTGAGGTGATACTCACGTGAGTTAGTTAATGTAAGTTTGTGTAATTCATTAACCAACTCATCGAAAGTACACGATTTTGTTATGAACAACGGTCTCGTCGTGCCTCCTTCATAAACGGATCATAAGAACAGAGAATTACGATTCGATCGTTCATCGTTAAACTCTGAAGAGTGAAAAATTCAAGATCAATATTACACGAAAAGCAAAATAAATATTGATTGTTACTAATTTTTACATTTAGGTAGTAACTCTAATTTCCACATTAATTCATAATTTCACCTCTAAATGCACAAAATTATTTGATTTTTCTTCACAAAATTCGTAAATAATCCACAAAATTATTGATAATTTCCCCTCTAATTTCACAAAATTATTGATAATTTCCCTACTAATTCTGCAAAAATTATTGATAATTTCCACACTAATTTTTCACAAATTTCACAAAATTATTGATAATTTCCCCTCTAATTTTCACATTTTTTGATAATTTCCCCTCTAATTTTCACATTTCCTCACAAAATTCGTAAATAATTGTGAAATTTCCACACTAATTCCACATTGATAATTTCCACACTAATTCTTCACAAATTTCACAAAATTATTGATAATTTCCCCTCTAATTATTTCCCCTCTAATTTTCACATTTATTGATAATTTCCCCTCTAATTTTCACATTTCTTCACAAAATTCGTAAATAATTGTGAAATTTTCACACTAATTCCACAAAATTATTGATAATTTCCACACTAATTCTTCACAAATTTCACAAAATTATTGATAATTTCCCCTCTAATTTCACAAAATTATTGATAATTTCCACACTAATTCTTCACAAATTTCACAAAATTATTGATAATTTCCCCTCTATTTTTCACATTTATTGATAATTTCCCCTCTAATTTTCACATTTCTTCACAAAATTCATAAATAATTCACAATTAAATTCTAAAATCTAGATTTTTTTTGGGCAAATCTTCACGGGAGTTGAACTCCTGTGAAGATTTATATATAAATTAAACTTCACGGGAGTTGAACTCCCGTGAAGTTTCGGAAAATTTTTAACAAAAACCGACCTGTTTTCAGCGCTGGGCTGAAAACAGGTTGGTTTTTGTAATTATTTTCAAAAGCGGTCGGTTTTTGCAAATAAAAACCGAAAAAGGTTGGTTTTGAAAATTTGTCCAACACCCAGACCCAAACAAACGCCCTAAAGATATAATAGTAATAAATAAAATAAAAATAATGATAAAATAAGTAAGTACGAGTGTATTTGTGTTGCATGCATACGTTGTCAGGACCGTATCTGTGCAATCGACTTAGTTTGATGAATAACAAACCTTCGTGTTGGTCTAATATAAGTTTGAGATATTTTATACAGGTTCTAAGAAGTTAGAATCAAGTTTGAAAGTGTATAGAGTGAGACGACAAGTTAATCACAGCCGCTTTTGGAAAAATACCAAGAGTGAACATCATGTTTGGGCATATGGGAGTGTCCGTATCTTCGTCATGAATCCCACAAGAATAAGCAGAACTCAATTTGGAGATGTATAGCTCGAGATATGAATGTTTTAGTTAAACAACGTCGAAACATCAGGTTCGAAACATACGCCTAGACTAAAACTTGCACGACCTATTGTTCGCGGGAAAAATCGTAGCTTTCTTCATTGATTCCATTACACACTCTTGTAATAGTTTATCGATTACAAAAATCCGATCTTTTTGTAAGATTCGGTTACAACGAGATCAAAAGAAAAGGAAAATTACAACTCTTTCCTTATTTGTCGAATGAATCACGAGCTCCTGTTTTGCGGTCACTCGCTTGAGTGGGTTCTTCGCCTGCGCCGGGGTTTATCCGTGGACCACCGCGCGATCTAGATCCGGTCGGATCTACGCAGTATGACGGGTATTATTTCGCAAAGGAAATAATAGCCGGGGGGATTAATTCACCAAGGAAATAATCGCCCTAGTTCTCGGGATCAAATGCAAAGCTTTGATCCGGAGTATGACTACGCAGATCTGAGATCCGGTTCCTCTCGAACTCTTACCTTATTTGGCGTTGACGATCGCTGAGCACCGGATCTGGATGAGCAAGTCCTCAAAGTCCCAAAGCTTCAATCTTTCTAAGTTTCGAGCCTTGAATCCAGCAGAGCTTCGCCTCCAAAAGTTCCACAAGTTCCGAGACACCTTTGGGTGTCTCGGCCAGGTCCGAGACACCTTTGGGTGTCTCGGTGCTATTTTGGTCATAACTTTCTCATATGACCTCCAAATGACATGATTCCAGATGTATTGGAAAGCTGACAAAAATATCTATAACTTTCCTGTTTTGCGTTTCTTCAGATTCAAAACGAATCATGGTCAAAATAGCTTTACAAGTTCCGAGACACCTTTGGGTGTCTCGGCCAGGTCCGAGACACCTTTGGGTGTCTCGGCGTTATTTTGGTTATAACTTCCTCATATGACTTCCAAATAACCTGATTTCAAATGTGTTGGAAAGCTGATAAAAATATCTACAACTTTCCTGTTTTGAATTTCTTCAGATTCAAAACGAATCATGGTCAAAACAGCTCCACAAGTTCCGAGACACCTTTGGTGTCCCAGTTCAGTCTGAGACGTTCCGTTATGCCTGTTTGTTCGTTTTCGCCGTAACTTCTTCATCCGAACTCTGATTTGAATGATCCAAAGTGCGTTGGAAAGCCGGAGAGGAGATCTACAAGCTCCAATGATTGGATCATTATGGAGTCAACTGGGACACGAGGGGCGTTGCGCCTTTTGTAAGCGACGCGGGGCTCCCGATCAATTCGTATCCTCGTTATTCTGAAACTCCGTTGCTTCACATAGTTCGCCGATTCACTTCAAGCGCTCATCGACATCAATCAAGCTTCTGTGACTTGGATAGTGACGTTCATCATCTTCTTAACACTGAGCCTTTCGTGGAGACCTATAGGCAATTTTCGATGCCTACAGATACCCCCTCCAAAGCGTTCCAGACTCGTTTCTTTTATAGAAGAGGCTGGAATACTTTGGATATGATTGGTCCAGCCTTCGATCGGTGTAAAGGACCTGTAGTTAGCTTCAACTCTTGGCTCCTTTGATTTTTAGTCTATTCGATGATTTGACGAATAGCCGAAGTCCTTCCAGCGCTGCGTTTATCGACTGGCCGTCGTTGGAGTCTCGAGTCTACTACCGGTGAGTTGAGTTTGGCTCGTGTCATTGAGTTGACTTTGAACTGACTATCTCCGTCATGATATATTGATTCGCGTTGACATTTTGATCGCAACGCGTTGACCGGTGTTGACCTAGGGTTACACGTTGACCGGCGTTGACCTAGGGTTACGCGTTGACCGGCGTTGACCCTAGGGTTTCGAACGTCGTACGTCGACACAGTTTATACTCGTACGTTTATTGGAGCATACACAGTTTAAGCTCTTAAGGTATTGGAGCATGGTGGTCCCAAGTGTCGGAGCTGCAGGACCAACTGTTAAAGCTGATTCATCTGCATTTATGGATCTTATTTTAATATTTTTGGATAATCGAGTCGGATTTTTGGCTAACCCCCAGCCATCAACGGGTTTGATGAGCCTTTACCGACTACCGTTTGAGTCGGGCTAGCATGCAGATTGTTTAGATCCGTTCTGCACGTGACGTTAAGCTAAAAGAGTTAACCCTTTTAGTGCTACGATATTGAATACATAGACTTCGTCTTTCTCCTGTGAAAAGACTATCTCACGGGAATAGATTACCCGACGACGCGTGTTAGGCGTTGACTTTAGGATTTTTAGCTAACCCCCAGCCTTCAACAGATTTGATTAGCCTTTACCGACTACCGTTTGAGTCGGGCTAGCATGCGGATTGTCTAAATCCGTTCCGCGCGTTGACTTTAGGATTTTTAGCTAACCCCCAGCCTTCAACAGATTTGATTAGCCTTTACCGACTACCGTTTGAGTCGGGCTAGCATGCGGATTGTCTAAATCCGTTCCGCTGTGACGTTGTGCTAAGAGAGTTAACGCTCTTAGTGCTACGATATTGAATACGTAGACTTCGTCTTTCTCACGGGAATAGACTACCCGGCAACGCGTGTTAGACATAGGCTTTGGGATTTTTGGCAAACCCCCAGCCATCAACGGGTTTGATGAGCCTTTACCGACTACCGTTTGAGTCGGGCTAGTATGTGGATTGTAACGCTGTGCTAAGAGAGTGAATTCTCTTAGACTTTGTGCTATGATGTTGAATACATAGGCTTTGCTATTGTTACGGGAATAGGCTACCCGGCAACACGGGTTAGGTGTTGACTTATCCTTACTTAGGATTCAGGATAAAATTCCCCGTGCGTGTGAGGCACGGATTATGGTGTTATTAATAACATCCTGCCACAATGTTGAATATGTGGTCTTTTGTCCTTTTTTACGGTCAAAGACTAACCGGCAACGCGTGTTAGACGTAGGCTTTGGGATTTTTGGCAAACCCCCAGCCATCAACGGGTTTGATGTGCCTTTACCGATTACCGTTTGAATCGGGCTAGCATGTGAATTATTAAACCCGTTTCACATGTGACGTTGTGCTAAGAGAATTGCTTCCCTTAGACTTAATGCTATGATTTTGATTACATAGACTTCGTCTTTCTCAC